TAATTATTTCACGCACGTTTCCTTCTCAGTTGTGTATTTAATTATTTCACGCACGTTTCCTTCTCAGTTGTGTATTTAATTATTTCACACACGTTTTCTTCTCAGTTGTGTTTTTAATTATTTCACATAATTCAGTTATATATGTCGTAAGCCTGCAGACTTACCCCCTGAGCCACTGTTGGGGGGGGGGGGGTTGACAGAAAAACTTGTATTACAACGTAAAATAAAAATAGTTTTTCAGTTTATTTATTGATAGTTGTAAACTAAATTTAGAGAATAAATAGCAAAATGTCCTTAACCCTAACTGCACATATGATGCCCGTTTCTCTCATTCGTCTTAAATAAACTACAAAAAATGTTCATTAGTTATGCGCCAGAATGTTTGTGGGTCCCACCCCTTCCCTCACCGTAATTTTGCTCGTATAAGGTCCCTACTAACATTTGAGTTACACAAAAACTTTTAAAATATATACATCAATATGGAAAGTATTAAACACAAGTGTTACTGCTTGGATCCCGTCTGTATTCTACCTTAAAATCTGTGATGTCACTTGTGATGTTAAGCAGTATGTTGACTCTTCCCCTACCCCCCCCCTTCCCTCACCGGTAATGAACGGCATAGCGAAAATTCGCTAATTTGCCGGTTAACGATAAGCTTAGGGTTTATAACGTTAGAATTTGATGCTCGTTCCCTGCTGTGAACACGGTGCAGATAGATCATTGTGTTTCTTTGCTTTGTGCTTACAAAAACAAGACCAAAATATCTAGTCCTGATACACGTCTAATCCTGATCCAAGTAGCACGTTCAGTTTTATCATTTGCCACAATGAACTTGAAAATTGTCTGTTGTTCTCACTAGTCCATGTTTTAGTGTTGCTAAAAGGTATTTAATCAAACATATAATAAAGTATAAATGGATCCAACGATTAGTTTGGATTAACGACATACGTGGATCCAACGATTAGTTTGGATTAACGACATACGTGGATCCAACGATTAGTTTGGATTAACGACATA